GAGAGAGAGAGAGAGAGAGAGAGAGAGAGAGAGAGAAGTTGTAAGGTTTACAGTTAAGTTATATTAGTCGTGGTAGATGATTGAATTGATGAAACCAAGTCAAGCAACCATGGCAAGTTGGAAACCATAAAGTTCAACAGTACTTAGACAGATAGACTTTTATTTTCTCTCTCTACAAAGTTAATTAATATCACAGAAAATTAATATGCTAATGCACCTAGGATCAATGTTTCCTAACTTAGCAGACCATTAAGTTATCGAGATTTAATGAAAATTCCACGACACAATTGCTAAACAGAAAGTGGGTTGTTGAGTTGGCTCAAAAGTTTTCCAATAACATAAATCCGATCTTACATGATTCATTAGACACAAATTATTTAACGAATCGGATATGAATATAACATTTTTGACACGAGTCTATTAAAATTGAATACTAACTCACTTTATCTAACATGATTGATTCCTGCCTATTTTTAGTCTCATAAAAATCAACACCTTCTTTTACGCAAGAAAGCTCACCTAAACTTAAATTGCTCAACTGAATCATCCAAAGGCTCCAGCATCATCTAGACCTACCTACAATGTTACCTGGAACTGGAAAGCAACAAAAAACAAGTGGCAAAATTTTCAAACAAAAAACGACAAACAACATAAAGCGTCATGAGGTGCATAAGTATAGCGTCTCTGTAGGGTTGATTTTACTAAAAAAACAACTTTGAAAGTTTGAAGTGGTCTTCTCCGCTGGATGAACCAACTTTGTTCCATGCCTATTTTAAATGTCAACTTGTCAAGTTGATGGAAGCCGGTGAGAGATTAACACCAAGTAAAATTAAGAGGAAAAGAATATAATTAAGGAGCTCATTACATCCTTTAGCTTATGCTTAAGGATCTAGAAAACTTTATTAAGTTCCTAATCATAGCATAATTACTGTAGGTGGGAGTGGGGTAACATATCCCACAAAAAATTAGTGCTAAGAACCCCCATAACATGAACGTTTTTTTTTTTTTTTTTCAATGGTAAAGAGTGTTTAGATCAGCTTATACCAAAATTAGGATATTCAAGAGAGCTAAATTATCCATAACCTTATCCCAAAGATTTGTCAAGCTTCGAACTCAAGACGTCTGACTTTACTGCTTCATTATTATTAGTTGAGTTACACTTAGGATTAGTGTATACTATTATCTAAACCTACACAAACACTAAATAAACCAAGATAATTTTTACAAGACACTTGATATGAGATTTGAATGTCTCTCTTCAAATGAGATTTGAACTCGATAATTAACTCATGATTTTTTTTTAATCTAAGTTAGCCCATGGATTACGATACAATTAAAGCCGAACTATGTATATTAACCCTAAATCATTTACTTATTTTAAAAACTATGATTGGATAAGCGTGGGGTCACTATCTATATCCTAAGATATGGTCATAAATCATATGGGTCGTTATCATGGGGCTAAAAGCTTCACATTAAAGCAGACAAAAGAGTAAAAGAAAAGAAGCAAATGGTAAAACAGGTAATAAAAAGCTTATTATAGAGTGCACATTGGTTCTAAAATATTAGTGCTATAAATGTGTCTGACTTCTTCTGCAAGTTGATTTCCCATTTGCCTATATATCTTTGGGAAAGTTGACCTATTTGCTCATTCATATCTATCATATTTACGATGTTGCCACTTCACTGGCAAGGAGGGAGAATTTATTGGTATGCACCAAATGACAAATGTGCCCCATCTTTCTCAAAAGCAATGTTATCATAATTGGATCGATCACCAAATCGGCAAGGAGATTGAATCAATAGTTTACTGGTTCAATTGTTAGTTCAATTGGTCAAATTGGTCATGACAGACTTGGCCCAGACTAGACCCAGACCACAAATGATAGGCCCAAAACATGTTTAGATCACAGATGCAGACCAACAAAAACTTAGCACATCATCAGCGCACGAGGGAATTTGTGGGGCATATCGTCAATCTTGCGAGATCACCTTGCCCTTTACGAGATAAGACGAGCTTCATGAAATTAGTTGCGAGGAGGACGCCTCAATCAGAACCCCTTGGAGTCAACTTCACTTGTTTATAAATTGCAAGCCCCGCCTACACATAAGAAACATCACTTACATTTGAATACTCTATACTCCTTGACCAATAAAAAATTCAGGCCACCGTAGCCTTTCATATACAGTGGAGTTTGTCACCCTGACCAAACCACTTAATTTGAGTTTGTATGTGTTGGGTCTCTTTCTTAATTGTTGTATTAAATACTTGACAAGTGGTGCATACCCCAATTTGGCAGAGAGTTACATACAGAAGGAGAGAAATCGATTGGAGAAGTTTCTGTTTGTGTGACAGAGAAAATCTTCAATTGTGCGCGTGTGCATGCGAGAGAGAGAGAGAGAGAGAGAGAGAGAGAGAGAGAGAGAGAGAGAGAGATGTTACACCCTTATACTTAGTGTTATACAAGCAAGGAGAAGGAAGGAGAGAAGTCAGATCAATCGAGTTAAATTGTTGAAGGCTTGAAGCTGATCGTTACCTAAGTTAGAGAGGCTGATTGAGTGAGAAAGATCGAGCTTTGAGCAGAGGAGTAGTCGTTTAATGGTCCCTTCGCTAAGCTGTTGTTCGTCCCTGAAATGGTCGCTTGGCCACTAAAGTGTTGAAGGCTTGAAGCTGTTCGTCGCCTGAGTTAGAAAAACTGGCTGAGTGAGAGAGATCAAGCTTTAACCAGAGGAGTAGTCGTTGAGTGATCCCCTCCTTGAGCTATTGTTTGTCATTGGAATAGTCACTTGTTCGTCGCCTAAGTGTCCACTGAATTGAAGTGTGAAGTGTGCATTGATCTGCGATTAATTTAGGAGAAAATGGTCCAAAAAGATGATTATATATATAAGAATTGAAATTCTAATTGTTCGGTTCACAGATTTGGTCTAAAATCGACCGTTTCAGCGGTTTTCAGGTGTTCAATTCCTTATACGATCTAACTAGAGAATCAGACCGATTTAGGTCTCGTTTCACGATTGAATTGATTTTTATCAGTCGGTTTGAACCGGTTCAAATAACATTGCTCAAAAGGGTAGTCATTTTTTCCAATTTATATTTTTTGGGATAAGTAATTTATCAAAACCTGAAAAATTTGTTGAACACATATCTACACATGAAAATTTTGTTGGGATTACATGTTAAAGTTTTAATAAGACCAGTACAAGAAAGAATTATGCAAATGAGACAACCAAACCTCTTCCGGCTATTCCCTCTTCCCCAAAAAAAAACGTTGTGTGCTTGAGGTCAAATCTGTAATTTAAGGACACTTACAGAACGGGGTTGTTTTGGTAACTTCAGCTGACATACCAAGTTGGTCCTATTTTATTACCCTCACATGAACTTTCATTACTTCATCTCCTTCCTTGCAAATGCCAACTAACCCTTCTCTCTCTCTCTCTCTCTCCATAGCATCGCCCACAGGAAAGATCAGCCATACCCTCAGCCACCTTTAAAGAGAGCTGGAAAGTGACTAACCCAACTCCCCCTCTCAACCTCTCTCTCAATATATATACACATACAATCATCTAGTTCCTAAGCCCCCTTCAAAACCAATCTTTATTTGCACTTTTCTCTCTCCAGATCAGAATCAAAAACCATCGCAAAATGCCTTCGGATCGGCCAAATTCATCTATTTTACTTCACAGAATCAACAACCCAACAACCAATTCCACCGCCACCACCTCCTGCAAACAATCCCCACAACAGCAGTCCACCACCACTCTTCAACGACGGACACCACTACCGTGTGCCACCCCTGTGCCAGGCTCCGTGGCACGCTACCATACCCACCCAGTGGGACCCAGCCAGTGCTGCTCCGCAGTGATCCAGCAAATCTCCGCCCCGGTCTCCAACGTTTGGTCCGTAGTGCGACGCTTCGACAATCCACAAGCCTACAAGCACTTCATCAAGAGCTGCCACGTGATTAACGGCGACGGTCACGTGGGCACCCTTCGTGAAGTCCACGTCGTCTCAGGCCTCCCTGCCGCCAACAGCACTGAGCGCCTCGAAATCCTCGACGACGAGCGTCATGTAATCAGCTTCAGCGTCATCGGTGGGGACCACCGCCTCGCAAATTACCGGTCGGTCACCACCCTACACCCCACACCCGCCGGAAATGGGACAGTTGTAACCGAGTCATACGTCGTTGACATACCGCCGGGCAATACTAAAGAAGAAACTATGGTGTTCGTTGACACCATTGTTCGATGCAACCTCCAATCACTTGCTCAGACTGCCGAGAACTTAGCCAGACGAAACTCTTCATGAATACATATATATACATATATGCAGTTATGCACAGAACATGACAATCGGAGAGGAAACAATGAATCAACCGATTGATCTTTTGGTAACACGACGACTGTACCTAATACCTATAGTCTGTGATGATTTGATGTTGGTTTTCATAGTTAAAATGCTTTTTTGATGGCTTGATCGTTTCGGGAAGTTGCCTGAGATGTTCTTGACAGTGTTATCGCCGCACCCAGTTAATGTTATAATCTTTATTGTTTCTTGTCCCTTTTGTTTTGCCTGTGTGAAATAATAATAATACGGGGATGAAATTTGAAATTTACATTTTGTCTTCGTTATCACTTGAACTATTGTTGGGATCAATTTGATTGCTTTCTATTTGTCAATGGTGATGATATTGTGGTTCTAAGTGAATCCAATGGAATAATAACGTTTTGCTCAGAAAAGCTCAAATATTAATGTCCAGAACGAAAAATTAAGATATGTATGTGTTTGAGGAGGATGGTGAGGAACAAGAAAATTTAATGACATTTGAATGATTTTTGTTACATGTTCAGTGTACGATCAGCATGTTTAGGGTTAGATTAATGTAAAGAAAGACAGTGTTTATATAAACAACGAATTCGAACGTCAGGTTACATATGAGTTCCACGTGAAATGGCCGATCTTTATTGCGCATGTGGTTAAGGCGGCTGTGGTTGTAACTAGCTAGACTTTGAATATAGTAATCGTTTCATCTCGATTTTCCACAAAGATGATCGTCTTAGTTCAATGGATTCACTCAATGGTGATTAATAAATCTTGTGTTTGTTCTTTGTTAATTTGTTTAAGTAGTACATAACTGGACCATGATAGCAAATAACCTCGCAAAATAACTTGAAAAACAATGAAAAAGCATGTAATCTTTGACCTGCTGCCATGGGACAACTTCGTTTATGTTAAGGTTTCTTTTTCCACTGTCAAAGTTTCATAATTAAAAATAGCAGCACTCGTGCTTTGCAAACTAGGGTTTTCTTCTTAGTGCATCGTCCTGTCCAGATAATTATATAAAAAAAAAAAAGTATTGATTTTCATAAGATTAGTTCTTTCCTACTACACTACTGCATGGTTTTGATCTCATGTCTGCACTCATATATATCGGTAAGAAAGAGAATTGAGGGCGAGGGATGCAGTACAAAGTCCATGGAGGACTTGGGGATTTAGTTCAAATTGTTATCAGCGATTGCTGCATATTTGTTCGTTAGGGTTATTAATGAAATTTTATACAATTGGGTGCATTAGACTGTTTAATTTATTTGATATTTATGTTCTAATAAAGACGAGTTGTAAACCTAGATATTTTAAGTTCGAGTTTTAATAATCTTTTAGGGTCAGATCATGAGCGATTTATCTCTTGTGAATACTTTGGTTCCAATGAAGATGACTTATTTTTGACCAGATAGAAAAGATGATTAATCAAGGTGCGTGTAAGTTGACGGAACACCCCTCAACAAAAAATAAAAAATAAAAAGAATACTTCTCTTGTGCATTGTAAAAGTCCTTGAATAGATTAATTAGAACTGATCTAGATTTGCAGTTTTTTTTGGGGGTAGTCATCTGGTTGTATCATGTTGCATCAAAATTTGTTATTCCTCCATTATTTAATTTTTGTCTATGTATAAATTGTAAATTAAGTCGTATTTAGNGGGGTAGTCATCTGGTTGTATCATGTTGCATCAAAATTTGTTATTCCTCCATTATTTAATTTTTGTCTATGTATAAATTGTAAATTAAGTCGTATTTAGTGGGCTAATATCGTACTTAGCTTGACTCATATCGACCCAATTATGAATGAGTCTAACAGATTTATCCATTTATCATCCGAACAGCTTGATTTTATGTATAATTTATAGATCATGTCTAAAATTAATTGGTCTCCATATGTCAAACCCTTTATATGCTTTATTATAATAAAACTCTCATGCATTGAATTATCTTTTTTATTTTTATAAATATTTATAAAGTTTTTCAGCTAACCAAGGATAGATATATTTGTTTTTGGTTAAATTTAGATTAAACTAGTTGAGGAATTCATGGGGGCCCGGCAAGGGAAGAGGTGAAGCATGTTGCATCAAAATACTAATTATGTGAAGGGAATCAACAGCTACTCTGCAACTTGGACCTTTGATATTGCACCAACTAGCTGTTAAAGAAAATTGCAAGTTGCAACCTTTGTATTTATGCCCTCTCTCTCTCTCTCTCTCTCTCTCTCTATAAGGCTATACCTGTTTGAATAAAGAATTATGCAACTTGCGCTTTCTTCCTCTAGCTATCTGTGTTGTTGTTTTGTTGAATGGGTAGAAGCAGACAGTTTGGATGCAAGTTGGGATGGCAAGTGGGCAAATATATAGTGTCTTTTTAAAGATCCCGTGTTTCTCTTTTCTACTTAAGAATGCGTTCACTCCGACCCCATCCTCTCTTCTCTGCTTCAGCTCTTCTTGTCTTTTGGGTGTGCTTTAATTATTAGATGATTGTGTCTCTTTTCTTTGCCTTCTGTTTGAATTGACTCACAACACCTGTACAGCCCACAAATCGGCCAAAACTNTGGGTGTGCTTTAATTATTAGATGATTGTGTCTCTTTTCTTTGCCTTCTGTTTGAATTGACTCACAACACCTGTACAGCCCACAAATCGGCCAAAACTCAACTGTAATGACTAATCTTATTGAGATAATTTATTATAAATTTTAGATTGACCGTGGATTCTATCAAATATTGAAACTTGCTCTTCATCTAATAATTCTAATAAAATTCAAATCATCATGTCATNCTCAACTGTAATGACTAATCTTATTGAGATAATTTATTATAAATTTTAGATTGACCATGGATTCTATCGAATATTGAAACTTGCTCTTNACTCACAACACCTGTACAGCCCACAAATCGGCCAAAACTCAACTGTAATGACTAATCTTATTGAGATAATTTATTATAAATTTTAGATTGACCGTGGATTCTATCAAATATTGAAACTTGCTCTTCATCTAATAATTCTAATAAAATTCAAATCATCATGTCATCATCTAATAATTCTAATAAAATTCAAATCATCATGTCAGTAAATAAGATTAGATTTTTAAGTCTGAATAACATTACTCTAGAAATAATTAACTAGTTTTAATACCATCGACTAATGTTATTGAAATATAAAAAAAATTGATCTAATTTGTTAATTTAATGATGTGACAGTGACATGGTCTAATAGTATTATTGTGATGATAACTCTTAAATGCCTTTATTAAGACTCAATCACTTATCACATCGTTACGTTAATAAATTAAATTAATTTTTTAAGTCCAAATACTATTACCCTTTATCTAATATGTAACAAGTCTTTCATAGAGATAAGAGGATTAATTTTGTTACATTGAATTTATGTTGGGTCATAAGATTACATTTCAAGTGTAACTTGGCCAAATTCCATATCTTTTTATGTTCCTTTTTTTTGGTTTAATGTTTAGGAGTGTTCGGATTAACTTATGTGCACATCGATAATTGTCTCTCTGGTCTAATCAAAAGCATACCATCCAGACCTAGACTAATGTATTTATGACGGATAAATTCCTCATAACCACTTAATCTAAAAGGGTTGCCAAGATTCGAATTCAATACGTCTAAATTTAAAATAAGATTATTTATGGATTTTCAGACCCAATTTCCATTAAGATTTCTCGTAGATGTTTCTATTTTCTAGACATTGACCGTGGGGTTGATTAAAGAGTAATTCGGTCTGACTGGTCAACTCGGTGACCCACTGCCTAGATAGGATTGGGTGGACATTTAGATTATTTTTGCAAGTTGCAACAAAACCAAGCCCACCAAGTCCTAGATGACCTAGTCGATTGAATCAGGAACCATTAAACTGGTGGGGGAACCCATTTTACTGGTAAAAATATTAAAATTGAAGAATTATAGTTTTACCTCAATAAATTGTCTCGCCTGCATTTTGGACATGTTTACATGTGTTTTTGAATAATTTTATGTTACTTAAGTTACCGATCTAGTTTGTCTATTTAATCAATTATTGCAGTTAGATTGACAGTAGACTCAAATATTAGTTATTTNATTTGTAACAGTAGATCTTGATTTGGTTCATTGTTAATTATTATTTGGAAAAATACTAAAGTAAAATAAAATAATAATATAAGATACCTTAACACGCATCACACTTTTATTTAGGTTTTCTTTTTTTGGTAAAAAAAAAGGTGAGAGCAAAAAAAAGTGCCAAGAAACTATCCTGATAGGTTCTCTCGGGAATGAATTTAGTTAAGTTAGTATATTAGTCAACCATCGATCTCTAATGTAGATTCTAAGATTTGAAATTGTAACTTCGGGGTGAGAAAGTTTGGTCAGTATATCACTGGACCACCCCATTTGGTGGTAAGTTTTTTTTTTTACTTGTGAAAAAAGAGATGGGGGTAAACGAGAACACCCAAAGACTACCAGATAAATTCTCGCTGGTGGAATCATGAGACCCTTGATCACACCTATTACTCTTCTTAAAAATGAACTTAACTGGACTAATATAACGGTTAACCACCGACTCCGATGTAAACACTGAGACTTGAATATCCAACGTCAAAGTGATAAGTTGGACAAATTCTCTCTGAGGTAAGTTTTTGGTACTATAACAAAAGTCTGCAAACAAGAAAATATCTAAAGGAAAAAGAATGAGAATATTGATTGAGCATACTTTGAATGACAAACAGTAAATATTATCGTGCCTAGAAAGCACGAATACGAGTACAATACGATATAGATACGGCGATATAATAAAATTTTAAAAAATAAGATACGGGTACGGTCAGAATATGTTTATAATAAAATATATTTTATATTTTTTTTATTATTTAGTGACTTAGAAATTATAATTTTTCAATAATTCTTTAATATTAGTAAGTAAAATTAAGAATTTTTACCATTAAAAGGATGTAATATCATTTTATTATGATATGTTCATAAAATGATCATTACCAATTGAAGGAATCATAACCACATTTAACTAGTTGATTTTACAAGTATTTATTTTTAAAAGCATAGTGTAATGACTCATTTTTTTTATACTCTCTTAACATGTAATAATAGATAATACTTAAAAAAACACTCGTGTCTTTAAAATCAAATGAAATTTTGTTGATATTTTTATATTGTATCTGAACTCCAAAGAAGGGGTATAATTTAAAATTAAAAATTATACATCTTATTTCATGTTTAGAAGTATTCGCGAAGCATTCACATATTTTATTAATT